TAAATGCTGGCTGATGAAACGTTTTAAAAGCGAACCTTCGACGCAAATAGCACTGTCCGCTTGAAGGATCATATTCTTTGCTATATCTGGATTTTTCCATATCAGTTGTCCTCCTACTGACCCTATTGTGTAGTTAAACAAAACCATATCTAATTTGTCTTCGTTTAAAAGCTCTCCATTGTCACAGTAACGAGCGGCCCTTAAAAAGGTAGTTTTATTGTTGAGAGACAAAAACAAAATATACGCGTTCATGATGTCCGAGTTTTAAAGGAATACTGCGTTTTTAGAAGCGTGTGAAAAATGAACTAATGTAGATAATTTAAAACAGGTGACGTCTTTCGCCATTGGTTGGTCCAGGTGCGCAAAATAGGTTAACCTCACAATTATTCACCATTCATGAGGATTAATGTTTTCAAATTGCAATTATTTATTAAAATATTCAAGTACAAACAAATTTAAAACAATTTCTGTTGTTATATAGGGAAACTATTTTACTGTTTTATTATAATAAGTTAAATTTATATCTGTTTACGAGTCAAAGGAATTACTTTTTTATTACATATGTTAGAACCCATAATACCAAATTGTACATACGCAATGTTATATTCTAGGAATTGGACTTCAATGGTTATGTTCAGGCATCGGCAGTTTTTGTAGATATGTTCAAAATTTGGATCGTCTACAGCCGCTGCAGCACTTAGCCATGGTACACATGTCTGTATCACCTATAATATTTGTTAAAAATTGTCTGTGTAATTGCGCGTATTATAACAATATTTCTATTATATGTCAACTAAGATAGACATACAATATTGTGAACAGAGATTGTATTTACAATGGCTAACTATTGTACCACGAGTATGATCCTCGTGTGAAAATAATTTTACAGCTTAACTTAACTAGTTAAGTAACAAATTTCAAATACTGTGTTTAGGTATTAAACGTTTATGATAATGTTAGTCAAGATATTCGTACCAGGTTATCTCTATGTGACACTATGATTGTCCCCATATTAACGTATGGATGTGAAGTTTGGGGTGCTTATAATTATAAAGAGGTAGATAAATTACATATTCGATTTTGTATATATATATTGGGCGTGAAGAAACAAACTTCTACATATGCGGTATATGGTGAACTCGGCCGAGTGCCTCTGTCAGTGATATGTAAATAAAGAAGCGTTAAATTTTGATTGGAGATTATGAAAAGTAATGATTTACCTATTTATCAAATGTTTAATGATTTATGTAATAATGTTAGTACTTCTAGTTGGGCTAGTAGAATGAATTCTATTATAGATCATTTAGGATTTTCAAATATAAGGCTGTCATTTGATCCTAGGGTTAATTATTATCTTTTGATAAAATCTAGAATACGAGATCAATTTGTTCAAGAATGGAATTTAAATATTAATTCTATGTCAAAATTAAATTGTTACTGCAAATATAAAACTTAATTTTGTTTTGAAAACTACTTGGATGTTATAGTGAATGATAAGCTAAGGCAGCATTTGACATGCTTAAGATTGAGCTCACATAGATTAGATATAGAATTAGGAAGATATCATAATATTGAAAGAAGTAATAGATTGTGCAAACTATCTTAACAAAATGAAGTAGAGTGAGAATATCATTTTTATTTGTTTGGGTCGTCAGACCAAACAAATAATGGTAGCGAAATTTCAGAGTATAATGTTCTTAATTGCAAATGCCGAAAGTAGTCCACTTTTTTGAAGCGGTTACTTCCCTTTTGTATGTACACTAAAGCCGAAAAATTCAGGGGAGATCACTGCGTAAAGATGGTCAAAGACAGGCGCATCAATTTTCAAGCAAAGTAATTCCCGAATGGTCGAAGGTTTCTAATATTGTTTTATTGTATTTTCTGATAAAAAATAACTAAATACAAAGCGGACATTCAATCTCTGACACAGAAGTTTACAACAAACCTAACAACAAGTAGTTCTCAAAACAGCTTAAAACTAGCGATTTAAAAGAAAGAAATATTTTATTTTGTTACAAGTATCCAACAAATTACAACGCATTTAAAGTTAAACAATAGCGTTGGCTTATAGAATTGTCAATAAATGCACAATCACAAATTACGCGGATGAATATGATTTTATCAATGAAAATACTATTTATAACCGAATACTACACAAACCGAGTAGTGGAATATATAGATTCTACATGTCGGACTGTTTGGGCGAGAGGATTTTCGCCAAAATATTTACTTCAATTTTAAACAACAGGTTTACCCTGAACAAAATACCTCGAAATTAATAAGGATTACAAACCCGAAATGCAATGGAAGTTCTCAATTTAGAATGACTTGATATTATTCAGACTTTCTGTGTATAACTTCTCCGTGGTACAGTGGTAACGCGCTCGCTTAGGGTGTGAGAGGTCTCGAGTTCGTATCCCAGTCGAGGAAAATTTTTTTTCTGATAAATTCTTTTTAAGTGTTTTTGTTAAGGAAGTAGCCATGATATGCAAGGATAAAGTGTAACTGTCGTAAAAATGAACATAAATGATTTTTTGATGCAACTCTAGTTATGCAGAATTCCGTATGTATCAAACTCTGGTGCCTTGCAAAATGAATTATAATACATAAAAATAAACCTATACAGGAAAATGCATACAGATATACAGTACGATTTAGATTGCAAAGATCAGAAAATACCACAGAACTTGCAGCACTTTGATTTTTTATAAATATAAATGCTTATAGTAAGTTCCAGGATTATTTACATCTGTGTTAAACAACAGTTAAAGTCGTTACAAGCCCTAATTTAGAATAATATGGTTTTCTTCAGCCCGTTCACATATAAATTCACCGTGGCTGAAGGGTTTTCTGGCTCGCTTAGGAAGCGAGAGGTCTGGAGTTCAAATCCCAGTAAAGGTAACTCATTTTTTTTCAAATTGTTAAAGTCAAATAAACATTGGATTGAATATCAGTGTTGCAATTAGTCTTATAGCCAATTTACTACAATTAAAACGCTGGAAAGCATTGGTGGCACTATACATATAATCTCACAACCTGCACCTTTCTTACATTCTGAGACCCAAACAAATTCAGCACCTTCTGTGCTTTGATTTTATGTGTTGCTCACGTTACAGTAGTATTAGATCAAAATATTAAGGCCAGTGTTCATGGCCAACTTTACAAAAGTTCAATGCATTGATGTCAAATAAAAGTAAAACATATATGTTTAATCTAAGTTAATCTAAGTTTAATCTAAGTATATAGAAGAAGCATTGTGTTTATGTCAAAATACCCTTGAAAGTGTACCTGTCTTGTACTTCATTATTTGTCTAAGTTATTTGTGTATATAATAGTCTTTGCCATAAGTTTTTTGTTTGTTTGTAAATGGCCAAAGGCAAATGTATTGCTGATTGCAAATAAATGAAACTGAAACTGGTATAACATAACATCATAAACTAGGAAATTATGTATTTTACAAAGAGGCTTCACATTTTTATAATTTTCAAAACGACTTTGTCTATATTCACGAGCCTAAATTAGATTTTGTCATAAGAAAATGTTTCCTTCTAGAAATGTTATTATTCATGAAAGTAATGGATTTCATCTCCGATACCGTTACTTCATGAAGTGCACAATCTCCAATTGAAGTCCACTACATCAGCTTTAGCTATCTTTTAATGTTCTTATTTTTGCCTTTGTTTTTAAACTTATATTTACACAGTTTATACCCTATCTTGGCGTTCGATCTTTACCGGCCGGCTGTCATTGATCATTAAATTTTCTACAGGTGACCGACTCAAAGTTTTTTGTTGTTTTTTTTTTTTTTTTTGTTTTGTGAGACAATACAAAACATGTATATTTTGTCATGTTTGTACTTGCAGTATGTATTATTAGACATACCTGGTAAGAGCAATTTCGTTTGACGTCACTACTTAATCCTAGTTCATCAACGTCATCAAAAGGTTCTAGTTCAAAAAGGTCAACTAGTGCATATGTTGTGTAGAATATAGTTTCTGCGTTCCTACAATATCTCAACAAATTTTGTTTGAAGCAGCGTAAATCTATTTATTATCAATTAAGGTTCACAAAACAACTAAAACTTAAGAATTGTGCTCAAACTTACATGTGTTTCACCTGATATGTTGTTTATTTGTATGAAACGTTCTACTCCTAAATCTATATAGAGGCCTAGAGAATTCAATTTACTTTAATAAAGTTATCGCTTAGACAATCAAATTGACAATTTTACACATCCAAAATACGTTTTATATTTAATTATTTATGAATGATATGAAATACTGAAATAAGTGACATGGATAACACACAAGAAAATGAAAAAGTGATTCTGTAAGATATTGTACAGGTATTATTTCATTGATATGAGCCGCGTCACGACAAAACCAACATAATAGGTTTGCGACCAGCATGGATCCAGACCAGCCTGCGCATCCGCGCCGTCTGATCAGGATCCATGCTGTTCGCTATCAGTTTCTCTACTTGTTATAGGGTTTGTAAGCGAACAGCATGGATCCTGATCCATGCTGGTCGCAAACGCACTATGTTGGTTTTGTCGTGACGCGGCTCATATATTTATTGGTACATGTAATTCAAACAATTAAAACAGAACTAGTACAAAAAGCTATTAAACAATGAATAACGCGTTTTGTTATCTTTATTTCGAAAAGAAAAAGAACACTTTGTCATGCTTTCTACGTGCAAGTGTGATGTCATGTGACAGAAATGTTTTGAAAATATAACTACTGGAGCCGTGAGTGCGTCCAGATTTACGTATATTTTAAACGTACATTAATAGCACGTGGTTTCATACATTTATCTGTTAATGCATCTTATCTTTTCCGTTAAAGGGACTTCACTGAAGTTTTTTGACATGACCGGACCGGAAATATTTTTTTGATGTAGATCTATACTTATAACTTATGTGAAAAATTTCAGATCATTAACTCGCTCCGTTTTTCCATAATAATTAAAATAATTATAATAGTGAAAAATTACCCAAAATTGAAAAGCGTTTAAACGCCTGGCCTGTCACTCATATCGGACAGAGAATAGCACCAACATACGATTTTCAATGTATTTCTTGTATATTTTTTAGTTATATCTTATTATATATTTTTGTTTTAAGTGGTCGTGTTTATCTATGCGAAAAATTAAAATTTAAAGTTTTTAGGCTTAATAACCTCAGTGGAGTTCCTTTAAGGTAGTCTTAATGTAAAGAAATACATTATATCCCTGTTTGTTTGTAATACAGAATTGCTATGATTAATGTTGTTTTAGTTCAATGCATTATGTTATTTTGTTGTGCAGAGAAATAATTGACGATTTATCGAGATAATATTTTAAAAATTGAAGTTTGGAAGGTTGAAAACTATAATGGATTGTGTCATTTTATACTTAAATAGTTTAAAAAAAATATTCCTGAAATTATGATGACTAATAATCTATACAACTTATTTTTTATTATAATCATTCTTAGATGTAACACTCATATAAGACATTGTTGAAAAGATTCACATAAAATTTTGCAAAACCATATTAGGTGTGAAATCGCAACTCCAAATTACACTGTTTAAGGTGAACTATGTAGATTCCCCCTATCAGTTATTTGCCAAGAAAAATCTCAAAAATATTACACTGAATTAAAATCAAATTCAAATTCATTAATGTATAAGTTATTTTCTACTGAGTGTAATAGTATTAATGATCCGGATTGGGCTCTCTCTGTAAAAAGAACTATTGTATAATCTTAACTATTTTCCTACTTTGTCACCCGTCACGAAGATTGAAAGATCAATTTATCCAACATAAGCATACTTCAATCAATAATTTGCCGAAATTATCTTATTATGTTCAATTTAAAACTGTATTTGAATCATAGGAATATCTTAATAAAATAAAAGTGACAAATTACCTACCATTCAATAAGGTCCGTATATAAGATCGTACGTATGATATTATCGGTGGTCAAGGATGAAAAGTCACAAAATATTGTTATCTTGTTGGTATAGAGTGCGGCTGGAACTGTCAACATAATTTAAAGAGCTTATTTACAACAACAAATAAAGGAGCAAGAAACGACTTTACAAATATGGTGCTTCTCATAAAAAAATCATATTTAAACGTTCCTTGTATTTTTGAGTGTGTTAGGGTCTGAGATCATGCTCCTAGCAGACAATTAATTAAAATCATAAAGTGGAGAAATACGTGAATTTTTGAAACGTTCGGTTCTTCATTACTTAATGTCTATACGTGGAAGTGTCAACTTTGTGTTTATTCTGAAAACACATAAGTATTAAAAATATAGTATTAAGTCTGAGTACACATGAGTTTTATAAAAATGTATTTAAACTTAGAAAACCTAAGTATTACGATATGAAATTTAGTCTCAGTAAAACTTGGTAATATAATATTGTACTTAGTCTGAGTACATCTGAATTTTATTAATAATACATTAAATCTGAGTACACCTGAGAATTCAAATATTGTTTTTAGAATGAATACACCTGAGTATTAAAGATATTGTCGGCATCGGACTGGCTGGCATTCATTGGTTTATAGTATTTTGTTGGGTTTGAAGTCGAACCGATAATATAATTGTTTAACAGAATCAATAGTCAAACAGATAGCATTGCATTATTTTGAACTCTAACAACTGTTCCATTACATTATTGCCATTTTACAGTTGTACGTCCTCCTCTAATAATAAAACATAATGACTTCCTATTTTGGGCTTAGTAATTTTATAATACTGTGTACGTTTTTTTCCTTTTATTATTATTTTGTGTAATTACAAACCTTGGTACTCTTTTGAGTCTCTATATCCGGCTTCCCATAAATCCCTGCATGTTTTAAAATTATTTGTGTTACAAGATGTCTCGTCAGCTTTATCTTCACAATCTGGGTAACCATCACAGACAAGTCTTCTTGGTATACATCTTATAAAGTCACAGTTAAACACGTCTGATGAACTACAGGTTTCTGTCGATTTAAATGATCATTATATTATTTACTGAATTTATGTCAAGTCGTAAAAATTCATGTATAAAAGTAAATGCTTTTAAGAGGGTAAATACGATTGTTGAATTATATATCTAAAAATAAGATATTCGATCAATGAGTACGAATTTTTTATTTTATTAGTAGTAGTAATATGGCTTTACGTCGCACTAATGCAACATATGTCATAACTGGTTTAGGAAGACGTCAGGTGCTCCTCCCTGATTAAGATTTCATTTAGAATAATAAACTATTTATCGTGTAACAGTTTTTATTAGCAGATCACATTTTAGCACTCATTATGTCTTTCCCAATAGGATGATTTAAAACAAATGAGCCGTGTCACGACAAAACCAACATAATGGGTTTGCGACCAGCATGGGTTCAGACCTGCCTGCGCATCCGCGCAGTCTGTTCAGGATCCATGCTGTTCGCTTACAAACCCTATAACAAGTAAAGAAACTGATAGCGAACAGCATGGATCCTGATCAGACTGCGCGGATGCGCAGGCTTGTCTGAATCCATGCTGGTCGCAAACCCATGTTGCTTTTGTAGTGACACGGCTCAAATCAAAAAGTGAAAAGACATACGACAATTTTGCTCATCAGAACCGTCCAAACAATCTTCGAAAGTGTCACATCTTTGATCAGATTGAATACATTGACCACTTGTACATCTATATTCATTTTCATCACACTCTTGAAAATCTAGATATGAATAAATAAGTGAATGAAAAAGATGACAACATTGATAAGTTATAGCGTTATTGATATTAATTCATAACCCTATTTCTCATTATAAGAAATATAGAAAAATCTATATACGTTATATTATACTATATTGTTAAAAATGACAATTTTAGTGATGTGTACACTTTCAGATTACTTTTTGGGACGTACTATTGTTATATGTTAAATATAAACCCGAAGTTAATATAAAGCAAATATTTTGTACAAGCGAACTATTTTTAAATCTAATTAGCTTAAGATATTAATAAACTTTTATAATTGCAGGAGTATCTGGGCCTGACCATTTGCTAAATATGTGGGTTTGTTTCTAAATATACTTAATTGAAAACAGATTATGTTTAAATATTGATACTCGCTCGGTGAAGGTAGCATGCATTTACCATTGCCGTCCATTATAGATTTGAGCCGCGTCACGACAAAACCAACATAATGGGTTTGTGACCAGCATGGATCCAGACCAGCCTGCGCATCTGCGCAGTCTGATCAGGATCCATGCTGTTCGCTAACAAACCATATAACAAGTAGAGAAACTGATAGTGAACAGCATGGATCCTGATCAGGCTGAGGGAAACGCAGGCTGGTCTGGATCCATGCTGGTCGCAAACCCATTATGTTGGTTTTGTCATGGCGCGGCTCATTTTTCCTACAGAAATTGAAGTATAGAGATAATCACCACATTGTTCGTCCGAGTTGTCTGCACAATCCTGGATAAAATTACATACAAGGCTAACATGAATACAAACTCCATTGCCACAAGTAAACTGATCCTGTGAACATCCATCTATAATTACAAGTACAATCATAAATTGAAGTTACATTCGAGCGTGGTTGTAAAGTATTTGTAATAGGAACTCCAATTTACTAATTCATATTCCATTTGAAACTTCTGTAAAAAACCTTTTAGGTATGTACTTGATGTTTGATAAACGGGGTACTAGTATTCAGAAATTCACTCAAATCGAAATTACTCTGATTACGTTCCATGGCTGTAGAAAATTGTATCTTATTAAATGACGGAAGTAGAAAAATGGTTTAAAGAATTGCCCTCAAGAGGGTTAAATAAAATTTCCCAAAATTAAACAAAATGATATTCCTGAGGCGTTTAAACGAAGTGAGTAAGTCTTTAAGATTATAACTTTTATGTAACAAAAAACCTTAATTATTTGGAAAAACTAGTTTGTTCCTATAAAGATAGGGTGTCATTAAATTATTGGATATCAATTGAACTGCAGTCAAAGGTATTAAAATCGAATAATGTAATTAATAACAACACCTTTTGATAAGGCTTTCTTAGGACAGTTTCTTTCATCGGAGGCGTCTTCACAATCCACAATACCATTACAAAGTTCCAGATATGAAATCCATTCCTTACTTCCACATTTGAATAACAAACCGGAGTCAATTTCGGGTGATCGAATGTTGCTCTCGAAAATTTTATTTTTTAAAAGTTGATGAGCTGAAAATAGCATGTTTAAAATACGCTTTATGTTTTTGAGTTTGTTTTTGTTTAGGTTTTTTAAAGTTAGACCATGAGTCGCCAAATCGGAGATTCTTCATTTGTCAAATAAAAAAATGCAAGTACCCTTTGTATAGTAATATATTGGATGTGCCTTCAATCGGTAAATTATGTGTTACTGTTAGAACAGAAAATGAAAAAAAAATAACTTAAATTAATGTTTCGTTGCTTAATCAACAAGAGCACCGCTAGGCGGAGCAATATATGCCGAAAGTGTATAATTTTTGTTAAGTAAGGATGAAGCATATTGTAAGACATGGGAATTAAATAAAGTATTACCTCCTTCAAAAAGCAATCCTCCTTTATAGCTGAAAACCGTTCATATACATTGTATATTGTATTTCCAAAGCACCACCATAAAGTTGTTATCTTGTTAAGTAAAAAAGCTACAACGGATGGACAGAAAGACACCAGAGGTATAACATAATATAAGCAAATATTTTAGGGCATAATTAATGTACTCAATATAAATGATCATCCAATGAAGTTTGACAGGTGTAAAACTGTGTAAATATTAAAGTGTAAAGGTGTAAATATTAGGTGTAAATATAAGGTGTAAATATTAAAGTCATTTGACCCTGTGACTCTAATATAGATATGGATCGCATATTCAATATAGACAATCATCCTATGAAGTTTGAACACTGTAAGCCAAATGGAACTTGTGTAATGCTCCATTAGGGGACTTTTCAGTGGATAGATCATTGTGACCCTGACCTTTGACCTTATGACCCTAAATTAATAGGGGTCATGTATTGGACATGGCTGTTCATACTTTAAAATTTTACAGCTGTAGGTTGATTAATACTTAAGTTATTGAGCAGAAACTGTTTCGGTTTTAAGGGAAAAGTGACCTTGACCTTTGACCTTGTGACCCCAAAATCAACAGGGGTCTTCAACCCAATATTGACAATCATCCTATGACATTTTAACACTGTGGGCAAAATGGAACTAATGTTATGCTCCAGAAACCACAATTTTCATTGTATGGATAATTGTGACCCTGTCCTTTGACCTTATGACCCTAAAATCTGTAGGGGTCATGTTCTGGAGTTGGCTGTTCATCTTCTAAAGTTTTACAGCTGAAGGTTAGTTAATACTTAAGTTATTGAGAGGAAATTGTTTTCAGTTTTAAGGTAATAATGACCTTGACCTCTGATCTTGTGACCCCAAAATCAATAGTGGTCTTCTACCCAATATTGACAATCACCCTATGAGGTTCAAATATTGTGGACCGAATGGAACTTAAGTTATGCTCCGTAAACTGTTTTTAGTTTAAAAGTATTGGACATGGCTGTTCATCCTATAAAATTTAACAGCTGTAGGTTGATTAATACTTAAGTTATTGAGCAAAAACTGTTGCAGTTTTAAGGAAAAAGTGACCTTTGCCTTTGACCTTGTGACCCAAAATCAATAGTGGTCTTCTACCCAATATTGACAATCATCCTATGAAATTTGAATATTGTGGACCAAATGAAATTTAAGTTATGCTCCGGAAACTCTTTTCAGTTTTAAGGTAATAGTGACCTTGACCTTTGACCATGTGACCCTAAAATTAATATAGGTCTTCTACCCAATATGAAAAATCATCCTATGAAGTTTGAATATTGTGGGCTTAATGGAACTTAAGTTATGCTCCGGAGACCAAATTGCTAACGGACGGACGGACAGATGGACGGACGGGCGTCAGGGTTTATAACATTATATTGAATTTCGGGCATATAAAATGACATGTCTAAGAAATAAAACATAAACTCTTCTTTCTTACCTCTTTGCGGACAGTCAGCTTCGTCCGATGTGTCTTCACAGTCAACAACGCCATTGCATCTTTTATATTCTGCTATAGTGTTACCGCTGTGACACTTGAACTTTTGCGCTTCGTCAATACTGGTTGTAGCTAAAGTTCCTTTTAATGGTCCTGAATCTACAAAAAAAATCCGACTGGTTAAAAATAACAATATAAGAAACAAACAGTAACATGGAATATATTCATAAGTCTAAGATAATTTTAAAGATCCTGTATTTGTGATTGATATTGTTATTGTGTGAATACCACACTTGCAAAAACTTATATATGTATATAATTATGCAAATAAAACAATTTTCAAACATCGAAGAATATGTAAAATGTTTAATGCAAATATTTGTGCACATTATATTTAATCAATAAATTACATGCATTCATTTGTTATTGGAAAATTTGACTTAGAATTTATAGAAAATAAATTTCTAATTACCTCCCTTTATTTACATAAAATGTTAAATTGGGTAATATCTTTATAAATAATGCTTATTGGAAGTTACAATATTGACAAATCTTAATTTGAGCATCGTATTAATAAAATAAAACCATGAAAAAATGGTGTTACAGGATCTTTAAGTATGCGTTAGAAAAATTAAGATATTAATATTTTCTGAACAACTAGTTTGAAAAAATTGCTGGTCATCTTCCAATGCTATAAAATTCCTTTCAAAATTCTCATAAAGAGAATTCCTGCAAGGCATTGTAACTCACATACGCTATTTATTGAGGCTGTACATGAATGATAATGCTCTTTAGCGCCCTCTAGCACCGGCAGACCGTGTGAACTATTTTTCCTGACGAGGCAGAATAAATTAAGAACAACACTAAGATAGCATATTTGGCAACTTTACGTCTTATACAAGTACATTGTACTTTACATTTGCTGCGTTAACAAATAAAAAATGTTTATTTTGTATAAGTCCATATAGGCATAACTTACATAACATACTTTACACCGCTGTTTTACACAAAACACTTAAAGTGACGTTATTTCGTTTTGTCAAAGACAGAATAACTTAAGATTTTACCATAATGGCTTTCCGTTTTATAGACTAGTTCATGTATCTAATCAATAAACCGAGTGACTCACCGTAAACATCAGAATGTTTACGTTTAATTGAAAAAGTACGTTTTACAATCTCAATTATTGGTCAATGACCATTATGATTGTCCATCTCTTTCAATATAAAACCAATTCAGCTCCATTCGACAACAAAAATATGAGCATAATGTTACTTTTGATAAACAAAAAATAATACATTTCTTGAAACAGCTTACCAAATTATGCTGTAAAACATAGTTTAACTGAAACAATCAATCAAAGTAAGAATCACTCACAGTTAACGTCACATATTTCCCAATCTGTACCCGGAAATGACGTATAGCACCAATTAAATCCCGAAGAGGTATAATCCCGGCAATAATTTGAAGCATATATTAAATCAGTGTCTGGCAGATCAGTACTATGTATATGCATGCTCCACTTCACGCACGGTTTTCCCAAAACAGTTGTGTTTTGATTTCCGGTATATGGGCGAAGTACTGCAGAACACCGATCGGTCAATACATTTTCTGTAATTCGTATTTTATATCTATTTATTTATTTATTTATATTTGCCTTACTGTATTTCTACATGTTAATAAGCAGTATGAAATAATCATCAATACGCTAATAAAGTAATTTTAGTCATCTTTGATTTACCATTAATTGGACTATGAGTACAAAACGTACAGCATACATGTATATCAATACTGATTATAACTTGTTTTTAAAGTAACCAGTAAATATGAGAGAAACTAGTGAAATTAATGATTGGTTCAAGCCCTGACAGGGGCTAGTCGTTGTTTCCTTGAGCAAGAAGCTTTACACTCATTGCTCAGTACTGGTTGGTTCCAGGAACGGATTCGAAAGTGCGTTTATAAGCTTATAGCTTCCTGCACAATCGAACTAAAATAAATTCTGTATAAACCAAATTAATGATGCAATAATCCATGCAGCGAACGAATACAAAATGAATATATTAATATTTGCACGATCTAAAAGATTTTTTTTTGTCTTCCTGTTTTTAAGTT